ATATATATATATATATATATATATATATAATTCAACTCAATTCAATGTATTAAATTTTAAATTTTAATCGGATTGAATAAATATTCTTCCAAACCCAGCTAACCCTTAGACTTCTATTTATCAGCTTTCCATCACTGCTACAAGACAAATTAGTCATCGGAGTATGATCTCTCAAAACTAGCTTTCACACGATATTGCGATTTATGAATCATAAATGTGTGGATAAGTAACTCAAAAATGCAACTTACTAATTAATAATACAACTGTAAGATGAAGATTTTTAAAAAGACAGAATCTTCTAGACATAGAAGGTAAGTCCACAACAACCATTTGTTTATGAAACTTCACTAGTACCAACGCTATTGATATAATTACGAGCCAGCGTTTGTAATATTCATATTACATAGCCATCGGAGTATAGCCCACATAACAGACAGGTTCAGTCTTTGGCCATTTTCTTTACATTAATTTGCCAAAAAGTTAAAGGACTAATCAATGTGCTAAATTCTTCAAATGTTGCAAAGTTCGTTGCTTAATCCACTGTCGATCATGCGGTAAGTAAGCATGAATTGAACTATCATATCTGCATATAGAAATTAAACAATCATTCTTATTAATCAATGACAAGGTAAAGTAAGCATGAATTGAACTATCATATCCTGAGATAGAAATTAAACAATCACTCATACTAATCAATGTTAAGGTAAGTCGCGGTATATAAAACATCCAACTTCATAAATATTTAACATAAGCTCCTTGTCTAATTGACTTTAATCTTTTTTCCCGTGAGGTCAGAACAGGTAGAGCAAACATGATCCAGCATTGATATGATTCATTAAGTTCTTATCAACCCTCTTGGCCTAAAATAGGGCAGGTGGGGAGGCAGGGGAACAGGAGGAGACTTACAAATCATTTTTTCTTCCAACACATCTATGGAATGTACAAGATCTCCTCTAAATAAAATATTCAAAATTTATTTTATGATCATTTATTCCATCAATAAGAGAACAGCAGTAACAAAAAAGTTACTCCGCTAAGATGCATAATTGCTACTAATTTTTCACCCATAATCTTAAATTCTTAATTTTCTCTTTACTCGTGGAGGAAAATAATGTCAACTCTCTACATCAGTTAAGCCAACAAAGAGGCAGTTCATATTTCTTGTTTTCCTTGATCTACATTTCAGTGTCAAAAAGAAATATTATACTTCTTTCTGGTTTAATATTTAAACAAAAAAAAAAATTATTCTTGAATAGTGAAAAGCTCAAAATGAACTATGCATGTACATGATTTTTGAGGGTGAGAGAAAGAGAGACATACACTAGGGCACTCATGTCTGCAAGACCATCTATGAAGTTGTAAAGATCAGTAATATCATAAGAGAGATTTCTGATGGCTGGATTCAACTCCTTCAGTTTCCTTTCATATAGTGCACATATGCCTGTACAAGCACAAGATTGAAACCTTTATTAAATACTAAGAATTGATCCATAAAAGTATCAATATAGAAAATCTATATAAAAAAAAATCATATAAGCTAGTATAGCAAAAAAAATATAAGGAAAAAGAAATTATATCATCAGCACACATAAACTTTAGGTTTGTAACCTTTCTAATATGCTATATTTCCAAGTTTTCTGTAGATGCATACCACTCTGTTTTTTGTTTGTGTTTATCCATATTTGACAAGTTATAGACATTCCTTTTAAAAGCAAAAAGAATGTGACATCTTTTCTGCGAAAATGAAATTCACATCAAATAAAAAGTAAAAATGACTTTATTTGATTCTAGAACCTACCAAACAACATGAAAACATTATCATTTGCTCTCTTTAGCTGATGGGATTTGCCCAAATGTTGGCTCAGTAAGCTGCAATGAATCATCAAAGCTATCCAAGGATATTGGTTCAGTATGCTGAATAGAGTTTCTAGCTTCCTATAGACTGGGATATATTGCTAAACAGCATTTCATTTCATGTCCTATAACAGTTAATGATTGTGCTACACTCATGCCCCGCCCAAAACTACACAACTTACGGATTCCCAAAATGTCAAGAACTTGGTCTTTTAACTAGATAAGACTTGATCACCTCATCCAACCCATTCTTTTTCATGATTATAGATAAATACTGTTGAGATAGGAATTGAATTCCCAGGAATTTAACTTAATGGGTCTGGAATAGATTTAAAACAGGTGACTGAAGGTTCATCTGTCATATATGTGACGGTAAGGAGGATTTCACATAATCAAGGAAACAGCGATTTGTTGCCTTGATTCTTCATCTATGATCATCAGCATTACGGCAGGCTTTGGATTTCTTCAAAATTTAAGAAATACTTCTTAAACAACATAGCAAGAATCTAAAACATCTAATTGAAACAACACAAATTCAAGCCCAATAATGACCTGATGCCCAGTCTTCCCATAAAAAATAAATATTTCAAACATCTATGTTGTCAATAGCGTCCGTAGCAGCTGCTATAGCGGCGGAGCGGCTCCTTGCCACTACAGTAACACCATAGAATGGCATTTCACTGGGGCGACTGCAAAACCGCAGTGTGCCTTATTTATTTTAGGCTTTAGCTTTAGATGATTTGTGTTTTCTGAATGCCAGTGTGCCTTACATACATTATCTATACTTCCTATTCCAGAATATCCCAAGAACAAAAACAAGCTTTGTCCCACTAAAGGGGACAGTTACATGGATCAAACAACACCATAATCTTGTTGTGAATCATATCTGTAGACAATTCATTACTTATAAATTCTTATTATTGGTTTTTATTATAGTTTTTCTCAACCTCCCCTCTACCTCTTATAATCGACATACCCTCCATTTAATTTAAAGCAAGATATTATCATCCCAAAGTAACTAAGTCAAGATTATATCATTTTTTCTACAATAGGTTCATTAGAGAAAGATCACAATTAAAACCGAAATGTTACATAGGCATTGTTTTCAGACGAACAGAGAAAGCCGATTTTGTAGAAAAAAAAGAATCAATGGATAAAAAGAAATAAAATAAAATAAAACAAAGTCCACTAAGATTTGAAATAAACCACCTGAATCTTACATGTTCACTACAAACTAAAGTTGAGCTTGTACTCAAATCATAATGATTCTCAGAAGAACTTAGTCATTAGATATGAAGAAGCAAGAAGCACATGTCATTACATCATCAAACATGAAATTATAATGTTTAGTCATGTTTGGATAAACTTATTCATAAGTACCTACAAGAGAATAAAATATAATTATTTTCTCCCACAAGCTAAATCCAAATTAATCACAATCACCTATAGGTGTTTATCCATACAAGACCTTCGCAGTAGTGCATTTGGACCACAGAAAGATACAATAAAACATTTGTCTCCAACCACAAGAGGAGTATTTAATTTAACAGCACAACTCAAAAAATAAAAAATCAGAGCCAAATTACACTCTATTATTTACAATCCACAAAATTGCATTTTTTTTTTTTTTGTCTATAAACATGCTCAACGCAGTATTCTAAAGCTGACAACCAAGGAATGATTTATTGTGAGACTGTGCCTTCGGCAGACCACACATTATTTTAACATCTTAGGGCACTGGATCAACTCCCATGCCCCCAGGCAGAACTTACAACTGGACTAAAAGATTTAGTTTGCATTCAAATTCAGATAACCAACGCAAAAACATAACAATGAAGTCAAGCAAATACAAAATCAGGAAACAAAACACAATTAAAAAAGAAAAAAGAAAATAAAATAAAATAAACATCAGTACCGTCCATGGCCTGAGTTATAGATTCATAATCCATGAAAGTCCTAGTTGCTCTGTTCTGAGAGGTCTGCATTAGAATAATGGTGTGACGACTAGCCTGCAAAATCGAAAGCAAGGGTTAATGAATCGGAACAAGTAAGCAGCGAATTGAGGAATAGCCCTAATTGAATGGGAAGGGGATTGCAATCGGTGAAAAGGAGAAGCGAAGGAGAAATCTTACCATCGAAGAATAAGGAGAGTCTGGTTAGCGTTATGCAGTGACTGGGAATGATTCGGAAACTCTAAATACACTCCAGAATATGTCAAGTCAGTCAACCTCACACGCTCCTGGCAATTTCGACATTTCACCAAATGACAATGTTAACCTTTCTTCCTCACTGAGTGTTCACAATAGAATCTTCCATTCCGTGTCTAAACGGTGGATCATAAATTCATAATATAATAAAAGTATACAATTGTTTTACCTTTTTTGTATTATTAGTTATTTGTTATTTATATTTATAGTATAATATATAATATACAAAATAATT